AGTGCTCAGCAAGATGAACGGCCAGCAACACTCACAGCCCGGGCCCAGCCCATAGTAGGCTAACAGCATACAGCAACTAGGATTGGCCGGCCCTCAGCAGCCTGTAACAGTATACAGTCGTAGCCCGCGCCCRGTCAGCAGCCGCAGCAGCCGTGCACAGCCACCCCCAGCTGCCCGTGTTCTGCAGCCGGCTAGGCCGCAACGCCCGTTGTTTTGCTGAGGGGAAACACCAGTCACACCTCCCCTCKGAACCCACAGCTATGGCCTTCTGTGCAAGGCCCACTCTCTCCTCTGAATCCGTGGCCGTGTGCAGCTAGAGCACAGTAAGGGTGCACAGCAGGGTGATGCTGCAATGGCCCAACACTGGCATAGCAACACACAGCTGTGTGCCGTGCTAACCTGTTCCAGCATCCGCAACCCTTCTATAGCAGCAGCAGCGCACAGTAACAGCAAGGCTGTAGTCTCCAAAGTCACAAACAGTCGCCCGAAACAGTCCAGCTTTCAACCGTGATGGACTGGTGGTAAGTAGCAACCCTGTCCTTCACACTCCGTGACCCATCTCCGCAGCCGCCGCCCCCCGGCTCTAGTTTAAAATACAGCAGTATTTTAGTAAGACCTAGTAGTCCTAGTGAGATAGCAATACTTAGTAACTAGCCCCACAATTACGTTGCCCCACAGTTCATTATGTGATGGCACACAACTAGACACAGGTCCGTTCAGCAGCCAGCCCAGCAGAAATACAGTAGGACATAGACTACACAGCAGGCCTACGGGGAAGTAGCATCACAGTGATCATCGTTACTGCATGCCTCACAGCTCATCAGTCRATGATGTCCAAAAAAAAGACCGGCAAGCAGCAACCAGTGGTAGGTAGTTYAACAAGCCACAAAATACTGTGCACCGTGGCCCAACACGGCAGCAGCCCAACCACCAGCAAGTCTTGCCTGTGGTACTGTCACAGAAGTAGCAGCAACCTCTTACTGTTGAGTACGATGAGCAGTGCATGGCATCAGCTGTTCCTCCCCCCCCCCGCTCGCAGATCTTATTAATAACAAGAATCGAAAACTGCCCACCCTACCAAACTTAACAATACTGCTGTGGGCCAGCCACTCTCCAATCCAATGTTCGTCCCATGCCGCCCTCACAATTACCGACAGTCCGCCCAGCATCTAGTGTGTCAAAAAGGGACATTGTGACGATATATACTACAAGGTGAGAATGAATTTGTCGCTGAGATCTGGGCTGAGATCTGGGCAGATACACTTGTAGGACTTCCTGCCCAGGTCAGCGTGCAGTTTGGCACTGTAGCCCGACCTTCGATTCAGCAGGCTGCATTTCCAGTTCTCTTGACCAAGTATRTACTCCTCTGTCACTCTCTCTGTCTTCCTCTTTCATACACACACATATGCGGTCGCTTGTTACTTTGCAAGATGCCAACCACGCTACCTGGTAAGCCTCCCTCCCTCCCCCTCTCTCTCGCCTCTCCCTCTCTCGAGCGCCCCTATTCCGTGGGTGAACCTTACCGTTCCTTATGGCCAGATTCAGTCGAGATTAGAGAGAGGAAAAMYWARKTKKTT